AGATCTTGCGTGGAACTCCAGACTGAGGGAGATCGGCAGTTATTTTATGGTTCTTCCATCTGCGAATAATCGCGCCATCTGTTTTCACCTTCTCACCCAGCTGCTTTGTGATGGTCTTGTAGCCCATTCCAGCCTTGCGTTGGTTCACAATCTTGTTCCTGACATGCTTGGAATGCTCTCTGGCCTTGGCCATGGTGCAGAGTTTGGAATCTAGATAGAATGATTGCTTCTATGGACGGCTGTCTTTTATACAGGTAATGAGTTGCGAAGGCTCCCAATGTCAGATGTATAAAATACACCTGGGAGCCATAAATCTTGCTGATTGATCAAATACTTATTTTGTTCATGGAACTTTTTGAAATGCATTTTTCTGGATTTTTTTTGGGGGGGTTATTGTTCCTGTCTCTCACTGTTCAAATAAACCTTCCATTTAAATTCTAGACTGACTTACAAAATCAGCTGGAGTTGAAATAATTGAATCCCTAACTATATACAGTGGCTTGCAGATTTTGGTACCCTTGGTTAAAATTTCTCTTCCCGTGAATACACAAAGTGAGTAATAGATGACCTGATTTTCAAACCAGATACATTTCTTTGATAATTTGGGCAGGATTATTTAATCATTTCCATCATCTACTGTTCAAAATAGAGGAGAAACACGAACCTGAAGCATAAGACTGAGCACGGTCAGCTCTTAGTAACACCCCTTCTGGCAAGTATAGTAGTTTGTAAACACATTTTTCAGCCAGCTTAGAGTCTTTCATTTTAGGTGTGCTTTTTCAACCCTTTTCTTTACAAAAGTTCTGTGAGAGTCTTTGACCATCTTTTCTTTTATGATCCACAGTTGGGGTGGCTGTCAGGGCCTGTGCTTCTTGAGATACTCCACTGCGGATTTTAAAGTGTGTTTAGGATCATTATCCTGTTGTAGAAGCCATTCTCTTTCCTACTACAGCATCTATACAGATGGTCTCGTGTTTGCTTGCAGAATTTGCTGGTATTTCATTGAATCCATTCTTCTCTCTACCACCGAAATGTTTCCCGTGCCACTGGCTGAAACACAAGCCAAAAGTATGATCGATCTATCCCCTTGCTTAGCAGTTGCTACTGTAGTGCATTTTTTTTAATGAAATCCTGCACAAAACAGCTTTGCTTATTGCAGCCTCAAAATGATTTTTTTTAACTTTTCCAGTCCACAGAACTCGTCTCTAAAATGCTTGTTTAGCTGTTTATTTGCAGATTTCCAAAGCTGACTTTTCTGATAATGATGCATGACATTTCCATAAAGCTCACATTCTTATAGCAGTTCTTTCTGGGGGAAAAAAAAAAGTTTTCTGAACTTATATTGACCCTACGGTTCCTGTTCACTGCTATTTCTTAATTATATCATGAACTGAGGAAGTGGCTACATGAAAACTCTTTGTTTCTTTCCTTCTCCTGCTTTGTGGAGGATTTTAGCTTTTAGCATACTAAAACACTGCTTGGAGGAGCCAATTGCTTCTGATTGTTGGGACAAGGTTTGAAGAGTCGCTGTATAGTTAAAGCTTTGATATTTAAATCACCTGGCCTTTCCTAAGGATGATTGTGAAAAAGCCAAATCCCTAAAAAGCTAATTTATCTCCGAGACCTTGATAAAAGATATCGGAGAGCTCAAATCTCTCAGGGTGTAGAGACGGTTATGTGGGGCTCTATTTTTTTTCTCTCCTGTGCTTAAAAAAATGCAAATTATCTTTTACTTTACAGTATGTGGAAATCATTCATCTTCTACTCACTTAACTCTTTACAGTAACGGGAATTACTGACCAGGGAAACCCCGAGTTTTCCATGCTACAGTTATATTATACAACATGACTTAAGATTGCTTTAATGTGTTTTACCTGTAGTTGTTTATGACCATTGGGGGTAATGCTACACTCATACAGCAGGAAAATCCTCATCTGGAAATATGGGACTCTGATTTGCAGGATCATTGTAATCATGTAGCTTCACTTTGCATGCAATCACTAGATTAGTCAAAATGTGGTCATTATGTCTAGAAACTGCATTAAAATATAATTTCACTGATGTGATGCAAGACTGAAGTTATCCAATATGATATCAAAATGTAAATCTTTGAGTGATTTAAAAAATTGCATATGTACATGTTAAACACGGGAGTTTAAGCATGTGGATTTCAGAGATTTTATACTTGAAATGTCAAATTTCAAACCACAGCAGCACAAACACTGAAATTACACTCAGTAGTATCTGCCAAGATTTCTGTACATCTATCAGTGGATCCAGAGATTTCTTTGTTATTGGCTCTACTGTCCTCCTCCTCTGCTCTGCTCATTCTCTTTGTGTTCAGTGCCTTGTTTACAGATG